GATTCGGGGAGGCCCAGATCGATCTGTTTGTTTCCCCTGAGAACACTCATTGCCAGTTGTTCTTTTCCCTGACCAAGGGCACTCTCGGCACGAATGCACTGTCCCACAGCTGAGCTCGGGGCACACGCAAGTATGCGTTTCCCCCAGTGAGCCTGCTCGCGCAGCTACTGTGCAAGGTCAGGGAGGACGAGGAGCAGTTTCTGCTAGTTGCGCCCCTCTGGCCCAACCGGACCTGGATATCAAAGCTCTCCCTCCTTACAATGGCCCTCCCTTGGCAAGTCCCTTTGAGAGAGGACCTACTCTCTCAGGGACAGTGCACCATCTGGCACCCTCGCCCCGATCTCTGGAACCTCCACGTGTGGTCCCTAGACGCGAGGAAGACTTGGGTAACCTACTGACTGCGGTGGTTGATACCATCACTCAGGCTAGAGCCCCCTCCACGAGGCGCGCCTACGCCCTAAAGTGGAGTCTATTTACTGAATGGTGTGTCTCTCGCAGAGAAGACCCCCGAACTTGCCAGATCAGTGATGTGCTCGCTTTCCTTCAAGAGAATCTTTAGAGCAGGCTGTCGCCCTCTACTCTCAAGGTTTACGTGGCCGCCATTTCTGCTTATCATGACGCGGTAGCTGGTGGCACTGTGGGAAAGCATAACCTCATCATACGGTTCCTCAGAGGCGCTAGGCAAATTAATCCAACTCGCCCCCCTCTCATGCCCTCTTGGGATCTCGCCCTCATTCTCACGAGCTTGCGTTCAGATCCCTTTGAGCCACTCGAATCAGTATTCTTAAGATTTTTGTCCCTGAAGACAGCTCGGCTGGTTGCGTTGGCCTCTATTAAGAGGGTTGGGGACCTGGAGGCATTGTCGGTCAGTGACTCGTGCCTGGAATTTGGGCCGGATTTTTCTCACGTTATCCTGAGAACCCGCCCGGGTTATGTGCCCAAGGTTCCTACCACTCCCTTTAGAGACCAGGTAGTAACCCTGCAAGCGCTGCCCCCAGAGGAGGCAGACCCAGCCCTTTCCTTATTCTTAAAAGCAGCTCTTTGTCTGTTATGGCGGTCGGCAGCAGGGAAGTGCCGTAACCAAGCAAAGATTATCCCACTGGATTGTGGAGGCCATTTCATGTGCTTATTTGAGCAGAAGTCAGCCGCGTCCCCCGGGAGTGCGTGCGCACTTCACTCGGAGTTTTGCATCCTCTTTGGCGCGTGCACGCGCCGCCTCTTTAACAGACATCTGTAGAGCTGCGGCCTGGGCGACATCCAACACATTTGCAAGGTTTTACAATCTGCGAGTGGAGCCGGTTTCCTCAAGGGTATTAGGTAACCCTTGGTGATTGAGGAAACAACTCGGTGGGGTGTTGTAATATGCTTGCGGTGCCCTTTTTCCTTAACACGGAGAGATGTGCGCCTTCCTGTCTGTCAGTAAAGTTCCCCGTTCGGTGAGCCCTGCAGATTCCTCCGAGGCCCCCAGCACAGACTCAGCGGAGAAGTCACTTGCTGGCCCACTATGTTAGGCCTGCCCGCTGGTCAGCCCGCGTTTTTGGGTATAGGTGCTGGCTATGTGCGATCCCCTCTGGCAAACCCATATTCTTTTTCCGCCACGGTTCAGTCCCCCCTCTCGGGTGGACCCGTGCCTTCCTTATCCGCTAACCACCTTCGTATGTGCACTCCCCCTTCTTAGGGCTAGTCCATATGTATTGCCATTTTGTCTCCCCCATTGGGTGCGAATGGTCTCCGCAGCATCCTCCCTACGGGAGTGCACGCGTCCCCACGTACTGTCGTATTCCTAGAATTATCTAGACAATAGCAACTCCCAAAAAAATATACCTATTCCGTAAAACTTCCTTTGAAGTGGGGATAAGTTAGGGCCAAGGGCACGTTGGAGGACCGCGCCTTCCATGATTTGGGTACGTCACGCTTGCTTGACTGCCCTCTCATCGGAGGCGTTGGTAAGGTGCAGTCATTATGGCGTTTTCCATAGTCTCCCATGCGTGGATTTTCTACATCAAATCCACCTATAGCACTGGAGTTCCCCAACCGAAGGGGAACGTTTGAGGTTACAGAAGTAACCCTTCGTTCCCCGAGGAGGGGAACGGAAGTGCCATATTCCATCGCCATAATGACTGTCCCTTAGCTGTTTAAAAGTCTCTTCAGTTTAAAAGGATGGCGTTTGCTCACGCCAGGTGTGCTTATATACTGGGATAATTGGCAATGAGGCACACCTGCGCAAGCTGACGCTGCCAAATCATTGCTTTCATTGGCCCGTTCAATACTCTTTCAGACAAGCGGCTTCTGAACCGAAACCTCTCATACGTGGATTTTCTACATCAAATCCACCTATATCACTTCCGTTCCCCTCCTCGGGGAACGTAGGGTTACTTTTGTAACCTCGAACGTTCACTACTTATGTATAAACAGGGCAGATCTTAGAGGTATGCCTAGCATTTTACATAAAATATCAAACTCAAAGGTATCTGCAGTACAAATAAATATATTAGTTATTTTAATAGATCTAACTTAAACATGTTTGCAAATTTTCTGCCATTTTTGCTGTTGTCATGTCAAGTTGCTATCCTATAAACAGAAGGGCGCAACACAAGTCCCACATCTGAGTTCTTCTGATCTGAAACTGACTGACAGCATGTATGACAAATGAGCTCTGCTGTGGGTGAAAGTTTAAATTATTTTATCTTCACGTGGCTTCTAAAAATGCGGTGCTGCAAAAAACACACGTGTATAATTGTCACGCACGTCCATCAAACAATGAAGATATTGTCACATTTTTTAACCTCATAAGTTTTTGAATAAGTGAGTGACTTCTCTACACACATAACAGTTGTTGTGCGCTGCCCCTGCTTTTATGGATAGACACAGTGCTAGCATTTTCACTAAAAGACATTTCCGTTTTAAAGCTTAAATTTAATACACAACTATTAAGTTTCTGTTGTTTTAGGAGAGGACTGAGCTTAATCTTTGAAAGTTTGATAAAAGGTTTCCTAATTATAAAGTTTGTTTTTCCATTGTGTTTATTTTGTACATTTGCATCACAAGTAGCTTCCAAACACTTCTGCCTGTTAAAAATAAACAATATGTGTTATTATTCCTGTTGTATCATACCTGCACCGAACTCTGACCACAAAACCATGATGCATACTGAACCATTACTCCAGTGTATTGTTACAGCCCTAACAATGAAAACACTTTTGCACAATGAAACTGAAACACTGGCCAAATTAGTGTTGGAGGTTGCATGGCTTAAATTGACCAGCATGGTTGCCAATCTTTATTGATTGCACATTCCATCAGTAAAGCTGCGGTTATACTGGACTTTTCTCCTCACATATTTTTATTCATACTCACGCGAACACGTCAGACCGGAAACGCAAGGTCAGACGGCGAGTTTCGCAGGTTGCTGCACTGCAAAGTTCAAGCTTGAACTCTGACCGCATCACATGATTGCAGGAGACCTCTCTGGACAGGAATTTAAAGCATGAACTAATTGTGCTCTCTTTTTAAATGTTTAATCATCTTGTTTAATCCCACCCTCTTTCGCAGTACTGTACGACAGAATTTCGCACACACAACCTCTACTGTGACCGCAGTATGAGAGCAGAGAGTGAAGGTTTAATTATCAAAGTAACAGAACAGCTATGCAGTGCACACAAATAATGGGTGACATATAACAGTTCAAAAGGGAACAACTTGCTGGTGTGCATCTCACTGGTGCATCTGTGACCAAGACGACAATCTTTGTGATGTATCAAGAGCCACATTATCCAGGGTAATGTCAGCATACCACCAAGAAGGACAAACTACATCCAACAGGAGTAACTGTGGATCCAAGAGAAAGCTGACCTTCACACTCTGCTCTTACTGGTAAACTGTGCAGTCAATGAAAATTGGCCAGTGTATCAGTTTCATTTTCCAACCTCTGTATATAGGGGTTGCACAGACTGGTCACCTTTATTGGTCTGCCATGACGCTTCTTAATTGACTTCAGCTAGTCGTGCTGCAGATCTCATGGGTTTTGACCGGAACTTTATCACAGCCTTACATGAGAATGTAGGTTCACCAAATGAAACTGCCCTCAAATTATTGAAATTAATTTAGATGTTATTCTGAATGACTTCATGTGTGAATATAATCCCAGGTGAATGCGGTGAAGATGCACACAATGAAAGAACACATCTGAACCATGAACCAGTAATTGTAAAAAGGCCTGGATTGAGAAAGATTTTAGGCAGCTTTTTGACCCGAACGGTAAAATCTGTCTGAGCAGGACTTTTATAGAGTCAGCTTATTGTCTTTATCTTTCATGTGTTATGTTGTAATATTTTATGCATTATGTTATAATGTTATTATATAACATTATATTTATATTTAATACAATGAAGTAAACATACATAATTTTTCAGCTAGAATAAAAGCAGTTTAAAAAAAAAAAAAAAAAACATTTTAAAGGTCAAAATTATTATCCCCTTTAGGCAATTTTTTTTCAATAGTCTACACAACAAACCATGTTTATACAATAACTTGCCTAATTACCCTAAACTGCGTAGTTAACCTATTTAACCTAGATAGGAATTTAATTGTCACTTTAAGCTGTATAGAAGTGTCTTGAAGTATATCTAGTAAAATATTATTTACTGCCATCCTGGCAAAGATAAAAATAAATCAGGTATTAGAAATGAGTAATTAAAACTATTTGGTTTATAAAATGTGTTGAAAAAAAATCTTCCCTCCGTTAATCAGAAACTGGGGGAAAAAAAATCAAGAAGGGGGCTAACAATTCTGACTTTATCTATACGTGTGTGTGTGTGTGTGTGTGTGTGTGTGTGTGTGTGTGTATATATATATATTTATATATATATATATATATATATATATATATATATATATATATTTATATGCATAATTTATGCACATAATATATGCACTGTATATATGATTAATCTTGTTTTGAAATACCAGAATAAATTAAAATAAAGAGGATCTGTTCTCACCTCCTCTAAGCTGCTGGTAGCATGTTCAGCTGGTGCCGGACGAGGCACAGACAGTGAAGGACCAGGAAGAGACACATTGGATAAACGTCTTTTCCTCACACCGCTACAGTTGTTGGGGATTTTAAAGGCACATCGTTTGTGATAGTTCAGGCCACATCCTACAAATCCACAGAGAAGGCTTTAGTGTCTGGATTACAGTCAGATGCAAGCCTGAGGTTAAATTGAAAAAAAAAAAAAAAGATATTGAATATGATTAGAGGAAATCATTAATCACATAAAAAATCAGGTATAAGGTTTAAGGAGAAGATTTGAGTTTACAAAGAAAAGGCAAGATAATAGCATATCTTCCTGGACTCCAGCAGAGGGCTCTGTCTCTCCTTTCACACTAACCGAGCGATGGGTAAATCAGCAAGTTTAGATCCTCCTGACAGACCAAATGATTCTCCTGAGGACTGGGTGGGGATTTCAGATAGAAAATTCATGACTTTCGTCTTTCCCAGAGCCCATGTAAACAGCCTGAAGTGTAAAGTGTTTTAGCATGCCTACACATCTGAACAGCTTGTATCCATCAGTGGGGCTTCTTATAACTGGAGCCCATAATCTTCACACAGCTTTCAAATGTGACATCCAGGGGTTGGCAAAAACACTGAGCTCCTTTCAAACAGGACCTGATTTCAAGTTGAAAGGGGACTGAAGGCAGCACAAAGTCCATGGCCTATAGTTTGCTTCCAAAAGAGAGCTAGAGAACAGACTGTAGGATTAAGCCAGACTCAGGAAAACACCACCAAATTTCCATTCAGTAACAATCAACTGACCAATATTCAATAAGTCATATTGTGATAATGATAATATAAAATATAAATATTGTGGGCTTTTCAGTATACTGTGAACAATTACTTATTATTGAAACTTTTAGAGCCACTTTTAATAGAATTCAGATTGTTGTATTGTCAGTGATTGCTTATCAAAGCACAAAACGCTTGAAGACTTATATGCAATTTATTTTCAAACATTAACCCTCTTACATGTTAATTAAAATGAGACTGAAAACTGTGATTAATTATAGGCCTTTTTTGTTTGTAATCAGTACAGTATGGTTGCATTTGTTTACCATGCTTCTTTTCTTGGTTGGTATTTGGCTCCTTAAATGTAAAATGAAAATGTAATTTAGTCAATCTTAAAGTGCCCCTATAATGCATTATAAAAGATCATAGTTTGATTTAGGGTCCTCAACAACAGACTGTGTATGCAAGGTCAAAAAAGTTGTTTTTTTTCCCTTAAAGGTGCAGTAGGTAATCTTCCACAATGCTAACAGCTTAGCATAAAGATGACAGCAAAAGAACCCTCTCTCTCATGTTAAAAGCAACTAGTCCTTGTCTGGCGGCGTGCAGAAATTACACTCATTACTAAGCCAAACTGACATGCTATTTCAGAGCGAATATTCAGAGTTGCATTGTAATCAATATAGGGAGAGACTAGGTGGAATAGCAGTATTTACTTGTGTTTTGTTGTTAAACTAATTAAAATCTACATTATCGATGCTGTAAAAGGTCACTTATGAAACTGAAAATAGTCCTATCAATCTATCACTGGAAGATTTTAGTGGGTGAACAACACTTCTGTGAAGATATAACCCATTTGTAACAACATCTAACGTTACATCAGCTTTGCATGAAGCTAAAATAGTTTTAAAACAGAACATTACCTGTTAAAGAGAAATTCTTCAGTCATGGTGTCATGCTTTTTCAAGAGTGCAAAGGTAACTCCAATATTGATTCAGGTTTTTAAAAAGTTTTGATTCAGCATGTTTTTACCAATCGCACGCGCTCTGTCTCTCTCTCTCTCTCTCGTGCACGCCTATGCATAAACGACGGTTGGCAGAGCTGCGTACAAAAGGCTGCGCAGTTGTTCAAATCTGCATTTGCTTACAGACAGTTTGAGCTACTTATCATAATATATAAAATATAAAAACATATAAATTCATTTAGATCATTTACTTTAATCATTACTTTTGGAATGTGAAGAGACTTTCAACCAGCACAACAAAAAATGTTTCTGAAGACAATCACCTACTGCACCTTTAATTTAGCAATTTATTTTTCCAAACCAGTCCTTTGTGTGACACTAATCTGCAGTGATTGATCTGATGATCTAGTCTGTTGTGATTATTAAGACACTGTTGAAGCATCAAGCACAAGCAGCCATGGTACAAAGTATACTGTACATGTAAGCCCAATTAAAGAATTTTGATGAAGCAATGCACTTACACCAGCATTTTGCTCTATACTTAACAATAACTCATAGTAAGAACACACCAGTAATAACAATGACATGCATTCAGTATTAATCGGCACATCTGCAAAAGTTTATCTATTTCTTAATTTTTGCTGTGGCATGCAAAAGCCCATTGGAGGTGTGTTTGGTTGGTGTGGCTCAAATCATCAAAATTTAAGCAAAAGTAAATGGGCTTATAGAGGTGCTTTACGGTCTTGTGTGTAAGAACAGCTGATGGTGGCCTAGCTATGACAGACACCAAAGAAGTGTGAGCAAACAAGCACTTTCAAACTAATAAAAAACAGCACATGTTGTGTTTTCCACAAGGTTTTAGACATGATATGTGAATAGCCCCATAACCATTTAACTTGAGAGCTGCTAGCTGCGTGGAGCAAATACAACATACTAAATACATATTTTACAAGCTACACAGAACAAGGATATCAAAATTTATAAAAAATTTAAAGCTACAAATGACATAATGGGAAAGCTAAGAGCTTGATGCTAAGCCCTTTTTTCAAAGGTAAATGAAAGATAATGACTATCTTGTAAGTAATTGGTTATGCCATGGAAAATAATGATAGAAATACATAAAAATATGCAAGACAGGCTCACAAATATAGTACAACAATAAAAGTACCTCAGCTATCCTGTGCTAGATTCACGGCCTACTCACACTATGCTATGCGAACTGTGCCAGGCTCGTTTCCCGGATTGTTTGAGAAGTGTAAAGCCTCCTTTCCACTTCACACAACAAACGACAAGCAACAGACCGGAAGTCATTCATATCTAATGGAGAGTAGTCCGAGAGCTGCGTGGAGTTCCGATCATCTTTGTATGCGGAAAATTCCGATTTGAGCTGCAGATCCGTTGAAATATTTGAACTCCTGCGACTAGACCGTATGCGAACAGCAGACCGGATGTGATGTATTCCAATATTGTTCAAGCAGGTCCGTGTGCGGGAGATGAGAAATAGGACTTTATTTGTTTTTGTTTTTTTTTAAATCAGAAAAAGTCTATATTAAAAAAAAAAAAAATTTCTGTTCATAAATGTAAGTAATAAAGTAATAAAATATAATGTTTTATGTTGTCTCCACATTCCCTAGAATATTTTTAGCGGTCTGAGTTTGTGGTATTTATTCATTAATTCAACGATGAAGAATTGCTTTTGCACTCTTTATTTCAAACACTGCGAGAACAGCTTCTATCCCATGATGCACGGCAGAACTGAAAATTCTGTGCGACTGTCACAAGGGCTCGTATTCCGACAGTCATGTCTAAATGTCGTGTGCAGTGGAAAGGCAGCTTAAGTGCTCTGAATCGGGCTCAGGCACGGTTCACTTGGCCGGCCCTGGCCTGGTTGGAAGAGGTGTGCAAGAGTGCGGTTCACTTGGGCTTTGGCGCGATACGCTTATGTGTGAGTGCAAAATGCGCCTTAGCACGAAACTGAAAGCGAGATATGACTTTTAAAGGACTGTTTCTTGTGCGTTTATTAATCATTCTTGCTGTTCAATGAACGCAAAATGTCATGGATTATTAAAAACACAAATCATTCACTGCACGACAGCCGTACCTTCAGCACACCTCGTAATTCCTGCAGCACGAGAACTTTATGATTGTTTATGAGCGTCAAAAACCTTCACTTAGCTCAGGCTTGTTAAAATAATTGCCTCAACCTACATTTTTGTGAAACTTACAGTAAAATACGTTGCTCCAGCTATGTTTTGTTGTATGTTTCAGATGACAAATCCACTTAAGAGCACTGTTTACATTTTTGCAATTGAACCACTTCATTAAAGCTCATATTATTGAGTGTCACTGCATGTAAAAACTATAAATACTTTTAACTTGGCATGTTGTCTAAAGAAGCTTTTTAGAAATCAAGTTCAAAACTGTGTGGTGAACATGAGATGTGCTGCTTCCTTCACGATATTGAAACTCTTCTGATCTTGTACTCCCATGGCATCTGCAACCTAAGCAACCATCAGTCCCGCTGACAATGTTCCATCTCATGTGCCATTGTGGTCCCTTCTTTATACATACATGTATGCATGAGAATATCAAACAAAAAAACCCAACCTACATATTTACCTTGATTTTAAATAGTTTTTATCTCTTTTGGGGAACCATGCTTCACTTGACACAAACCCAAGCACACTGCATCAAATATGTACAACAACATACAAAGTGTATTACCGAGTAAACTGATCATGCAGGTTGCCATTTCAGGGACATTACGAAATCAAGGAGTCTCTATGCATTTCCGGAAGACTTCCGGAGCTTCCAGGAGAGTTACGATGTGTGGATAAGGAGTTGGAACTATTTAAAAAGTAATGTGTGGATTAACAAAATCTAAATATTTCGATTATCGCTTTACACTTGTCCAAATTAAGCTCTTAGCAATGCATATTTCTAATATCTGATATTGATAAATTATAAATAACTTTGTAATTTTACCAACAACTTTCATTCACATGCATGAACAATAATAAAATACTTTTGTCACTGGAAGATACAAATGATTAGAGCTGGACAATAAAGCAATAAATAAATTCAGATTTTAATCAAGAACTTATTCTGCATCGATGCATGGCAAATTTGCGATTCTCTCTTGAATTAATTCTGAGCTTACTTTTTAACATCAGATGGCGCTGTATGCAAAAACAGCCACACTCTGCCAATCATAACACATACCACTTGAACTTAAAAGTTTATTTTTAGGTAACATTTATATTAGGTAACACTTTACTTTAAAAGGTGTAACATACAGTACGCCATGCCATAACTGGGCTTTTTTCACAAGCCTGTTATGACGCATTTAACGATCATCAGCATCTTAAATCATTGAAAGTTTTTCATTTTTCAATTTTTTTTTAAACGTATAATTTTTTATTTTATAATCTGAGCAAAGGAGATTGTAAAATTCAGTGAGGTCAATAAGTATTTCATCACACTGTGATTTTTCAAAATCTCCTACTTAGAAATCATGGAAGGGTCTAGAATTTTCGGTATAGGTGCTTTCAACTGTGACAGACATAATCTAAAAATAAATATCCGGAAATCACATTGTATGATTTTTTGACAATTTACTTGTAAATTACTGTGTCCAATAAGTATTTGATCACTTGAGTCATAAATGTTTAAAATTTGGTACAGAAGCCTTTGTTAACAATTACAGAGGTCCAATGGTTCCTGTAGTTCTTCACCAGGTTTGCACACACTGCAGGAAAGATTTTGGCCCACTCTTTCATGCAAATTTTCTCTAGATCTTTCAGGTTTTGGGGCTGTCACTGAGCAGCACAGAGTTTTAGCTCCCTCCAAAGATTTTCACTACAGAATCTTGATATGCTTTTTATGGAGCCACTCCTTGGATTTCCTGGCTGTGTGCTTTGGGTCATTGTCATGTTGGAAGACCCAGCCACGACCCATCTTTAATGCTCTGACTGAGGGGAAAAAGGTTTTTGCCGAATATCTTACTATACATGGCCCCGTTCGTCCTCTCCTTTATGCAATGCAGTCGTCCTGTCCCCTTTGCAGAAAAACACCCCCAGAGCATGATATTTCCAGCCCCATGCTTCATTGTAGGTATGGTATTATTGGGAGGATACTTATCATTCTTTTTCCTCCAAACACGGCAATAGGGGTTAAGACCAAAAAGTTCTACTTTGGTCTCATCTGACGACAGGACTTTCTCTCATAACTCCTCTGGACAATCCAGATGGTCCCTGGCAAACCTCAGACGGGCCTTTAAAAGGGCTTACTTAAGCAGGGGAACCTTCCTTGCGATGCATGATTTTAAACCACGATGTCTTAGTGTATTACTGATAGTAGCCTTGGAAACGGTAGTCCCAGCTCTCTTCACAACATTGACCAGTTCCTCAAGTGTAGTTCTGGGCTGATTCTTGACCATTCTTAGCATCTTTGATACCACACGAGGAGAGATCTTCCGTGTGACCCCAGTTCAAGAGAAGTTGACAGTCATCATTACCCTACTCCACTTTCGACAATTTCTTCAACGGTTGTTCTTTTTTACCAAGCTACTTGGCTACTGCCCCGTAGCCCTTTCAGCTTCGTGAAGGTCTACAATTTTATCTTGTGTCTTTTGACAGCTCTTTGGTTTTGCCCATGTTGCTACTTAGAGTTTTGACTGACTGTGGGGTGCACAGGTGTATTTAAGACAGCCAACAACCTCAAACAGGTGCTACTAAATTAGAATGATGAGCAGAGTGTAGCTGGACTATCTAAAAGCAAAATACCAGGTCTTTGAGGGTAAGAGATCTGGCTAAAAAGCAAGTTATCAAAAACTTATTTAACAGAGTAATTTACAAATAATTTGTTAAAAAATCATCCAACGTGGTTATTGGATTTTTATTTTAGATTTTGTCTCTGAAAGTGGAAATGCACCTATGGTGACAATTCTAAACCCCTCCATGATTTCAAAGTAGGAAATATTGAAAAATCACAGGGTGATCAAATACTTATTGACTTAACTGTATATATTTTTTTGTTTACTCCTATTTACTGCACTTCACTGTTTCCCAACTATGGCGACTTACACTACTGAGAAACCCGAAAATGTAAAAAGACCTATATGATGACAATTTTATGCACACAAAGACATCGAAAACAAGTGCATGCTTGCATTTAAAATTACATAACTGAGTTTATGACAGTTGCCATAAAAATGCATATAATCTCATTCATATTCATGATATCATGTCATGATTATAAAGATTTCATTACAGTCTTATTAAAAAACCTTTAAGTAAAGTGTTGCCAGTAATTACAAGTGTCCATAGTGAGCTGTGTTTAAATTAATACAATGAAATAAAATTTATAGTGCAAGTACGTTTGACCACTTGCCATACATATTTAATTTCATATTTTTGTTTGTTAAGTGCAACTTAAATAAACAATAATAACTAAGTGTGGTAAAAAAGGAGTTACATATCCAAACACTCGTCCTATTCTTATGCCCCATATGGTGATGCATATACGTCTCCAAAACCAGTGGAAAATCTAAAAATGTTTTAATACAGCAAATATAAACATGCATATGATAAATAATACTTCTAATATTAATAACATTATATAAACTGTCATCAATAAACTGGAGAAAAAAAAGAAAAAAGAAACAAGGTGAAGAAGGCATGGAGGTAGTCATTTTTATATTTATGTAGAAAATAATAAATTTTTTCAACATTTTAATCTTTTCATATATAAAGATTTTTTGTGCATTGCTGTACATCCTGTCTACTAAGCAATGTGTAAGCATTTTGGACCTACATAGACGCATAACTAACATGCTATTTAAATTACAAAAACTCTGCACTGGACTTAAGACCAACTTTTAGTTTGTTTATTTAAGTTGCCTCAAAATAGCATTGTGCCAACAATGTGCACACCTCCTTTTCAGACCAGCACGCCCAAGAGTTAACAAAGTAGCCAAATGAATTTGCTATTTATCAACATAAGGCAAAATGTGAAAATGACAGTTGTGCTGGTTTGAACATAGCAACAAATCATGCCCTGTTTGCCTTGCGCCTTAATGCACAAGGTGTATGATAGGGTCCTAATAGTATATGATTAGAAACTAGCCAAGAGCGCCATCTGTTGTTAAAAATCTAAACTCAGAATCAATTCTTGCGTTGCCTTCCAATAATCTAAGCTGCTTTACCACTGCACACGACATTTGGACATGACTGTCGAAATATGACCTCTTGTGGCAGTCGCACAGAATTTCCAGTTTTGTCATCCACCAAGGGAGAGAAGCTGGATTCTGTCTGTGTTTGAAATAAAGCAAAAGCAAGAGTCTTTATTCTCTGTTCATTTACTATAGTTGATTTGAATAAATGAATGAATACTAGAAACTCATAGATCGCAAAAAATTTTGGAGGGAATGTGGAGACAACAAAAACAAAAATATATATATATATATTGTTTTATTACTCATTTATAAATAGAAATGTTTTTTAATATAAACTTTTTTTCTGATTAAAAAAAATTGACTATTTCTCATCTCGCGCATTCGAATCTACTTTGGACAACACCGCAATGCATCACATCCGGTTGGCCGGTCACATCTGGTCTAGTCACAGGATTTCAAATATTTTTACAGATCCACAGCTCACATCGAATCAGAATTTTCTGCATATGGAGATGATCGGAACTCCCGGACTACTCTTCATTGAAAATGAATGACTTCCAGTCTGTCACTTGTTGTTTGTTGTTTGCAGTGGAAAGGCGGCTTAACAGTTGATCTAAGAGTCACAATACATTGATTTATCATCCTAGCCTTACAAATAATCCAATATCTCTTCAGAATGTCTGTTTCTCATGTGACTGTACCTTCACACTTGAGGCCTTGCCTGACGAGCCCCCACAGCATCTCTCCACAGTAGTCACAGAAGGTGGGCGCTTTGTAGGAGTGGACGTACAGCGCATGAGGTCGTATCTGGAAATCTTCGACTGTAGCTTGAGCTGCAATCAAAACGCAACTTAAAGGACAACTCAGTAGAAGAATGGATGAAGCAACAAAACACTAAACAAAATAATGTAAATGAGAACAAAACAAAAGAACAGAACACAGAGAATACATTAGTCAGCATTAGCAGCACATAATTAAGGAGTCATACTGTTTCATAACATTCCAAAGAACAATGAAACTACTTGTTTAGCTTTTTTTTTTTAGTCAGCATCTGCAGAGCAGTTTGAGCTCCTCAAGGCAAATAGACATAGACAAAACTCCACAAGGCTGTCCTTCAGTTTGACTCAAGGTCAGTGATTAACTGATGTGACTCAGACTGGAACAAGTCCATGAGAATGATTCACCAGGCTGAAAATTCAATATCACTTCAGAAAGTGAACATGCAGGCCTGTGGAACAGCACGGTGTGGTTCTACAGTTCCTGTTTTACAGCTTGCGGTTTAATGTTGGTACTCTTCTGGCCGACTTGAATCTCACACTTGTCACTGTTTTGGTTCTTTATTATCGTTCTCAACAAAGTCTGAGGTTTACTTCAATACAGAGAAAACATTAGCACTTTTTTGTCAGTGGCTCTGTGAAAAAGCATCTGTCAAGAAATGCACTGCAAACATGAAAGTATAAGATCAGGAAAAAATTGGTGCATGGCAAACAGCATGCAGAAAAAAAACATTGGCAAAAAGTTACAGTGTCCTAGATTTCTTCCCTAGTGCCACAGGTGGATGGCAGTGTAATCATTTTCTTTCAACAACTAAAAGCAAGTTTTTCCATTATCAAAACCTGAAAATACACAACCAGTTGTTGCTGAAGTTACACGACAGAGTTCCATAACTTTCCCTTATTTTGTGGCATAAGTAAAAACCCTTTAGTAAGGGGAGCAGGATATACACATAATTGTATACACTTTACATCAACTTATGTAAACTGTTCTATTTGCACTTTGTGTTTTTGGTTCGTCATTACAGTTGCCAAGTATGTAACCCGTTTTAAAGATATGATTGCTTTTTTAGAAAACATAGCTATCAACAATGTTTCTTTGCATTTGTGCTAGCTGTTTTCTCCTAATGTATTGATTAACAACTGGTTTAGAGGGAGAGAGACAACATTTCTTATAAGGTTATTTCCTTATAAAATAAAGTGATATATTAAAGAGTTACCATATATTAAATAGTATCTTTTCTGCCAATTATTTCTATTTTATTTTATATTCATTCTATATGTATATTCTATAGACCTTTTCTAATTTATTGTATTATTTGAAGCACAAATAAAAAATTCACATAAATTTTGTTTTATGTGCACACAAAAGTATTCCCACAGCCTGATGGTATTTTATGTGACCAGTGAAGAGATGGTCTATGAGAATTCTGAATATTTGTTTTGGGGGGTGGGATCGGGGGTTGGGTTGGGGGGTAGAAGTTCAATTTACTTGAACTTCTAATTTTGTTAAGCTTCTTTGACACAATCTACATGAGAAACATGCTATAAAAATAAAACTAAATTAAATTGAAAAAGTTATTACTCAAAGATACTAAATTGTATATGGAACATGCATGTTTATATTGTAATAAAAGAAAACTGATAACAGATATTACTAATTATGCTACATGATCTGATACAGAGTTTGTTTTGTCATTCTAATCCTATAACAGCTTTGCTCATATTCTGAACACAAGCTAAGATATTTTAGATTAGGGGTTAACTCATGTATTACTTTTGTCAACTACTTTAGTATTATGTTTGACCTCGAGGGGGAGGTTACAACTGTTAGTAATGTTATAACTCCAGTTAAATAATTGTATCTTTATTTCATAATAACATTAAATTAACAAATAAATACATGTAATTGCATCGATGTAAAATAGATGTTACTTCACTAGATTACTATAACCTACTTGGGTCAGCAAACGTGGATAAGTATTTTCCCCATAGAAGGAGCTTAAAAATACTCTGTCATTTTTTATGGAATTGACAAAAACAGATGTGAAAACTACAAAATGTATTTTTTTTGCATATGTTCATAGTTACAAGAAAACAATATGTTTTTTTATTTTATTTTATTTTACAATTTGTAAAACAGACAGGAAGTGCTTTCCTTTTCTGTGTGTTTTGTAAATCCAGTGTTCCACAACATTGCTGATGCTACACCACAATCACCACAATAACTTAACAAACTGAACTGAACCAAACAGTACTGTGGCTCCCAAACCGTTAACCAAATCATGGAATTGGTGTATCGTTACACACCTATAAATAAAAAATGACAATTATCAACAGACATAACCTTTTCCCAAAACTTGATCAAATTAGCAAAACTATAAAACAACCAGTCATTTTAAGCTTTATAAATTTTATTAACTACATTCAACAAATTAAATGCAACAAGAATGATGCAGAATACGTGACTTGTTTTCTTCATCATCTTTACTGCCCAGTTTGCATTGACTTTGTATGTACTCTACTCACACAAATACTTAAACTTGCAATTGGGGTTACTGATGCTCTTGCAGGTTACATAAAATAATATGATGTGTTGGAGCCAGCGGGCCTTGACACATGCTTTAAAGAAATACAAGAGCTCCATTACTGTGCGATCACACTAAAAGCGTTGAGAGCATCCAAGGTCGCTCTGGCCGCTCTGGTGACAACACTGTCTGCCTTCAGCTCTGGCAGCAAGAGCATCAAAATTGACCTTGTATTTAAAGGGGCCTTTGCAGCATATCAGTTACATTCCCGCATAAAACATGCTTTCTAGTGTGAAAATGTTCAGACTTCTTATCAAATTCATTTAACAATGGAAGATCAAGTAGTGTGTGGTGTGGCTTTGCTCCATTTATTTATCCAATGTGTCCATATGTCTGATATATCCCGAAGCAGCAATACTGTTTTGTACTGTCGCATGAGATTCCCGCTTTTTTAAAGATAAACATATAACATTAATGCAAATCAGTAATTTCCCAGTAACTTTTTATGTTCCTGTAAGAAAACATTGCAAATAATTGGAAATCCAGCAAACGCAATAATCAAACCCTTGGGAACAACTGTGGTCGGAACCAAAATTCACAGGATTGTGTTCTCTGGTGTCCTCTCAAGCGGTGGACTTCTACATTCTGATTGCTTGCCACCGAACCGCGTCATAGCTCATTACTATAAAGTTGACTTGATTTCAACTCTTCTTGACGCCCACAGCGACAAAGACGCACCACGCTGCTCCTCGCCGCTTATCGCCACCGACTCTTATTGAAAATGAATGACTTTCGGCTACTTTGACGCTCTTGCCTCTTTCGGTGTGAGCGTATGGTTATAGGGATGTAACGATTCACTGTGAGCTGGTTGAAAATCGATTCAAACATGTGACCATTCAAATCGGTAGAAATGCTGAATGAATCGTAATACATATTTTGAACTGAGGGGGTGCTGTGTTTACAGGTGCAAGCTCGCTTTACCTGCACATCAGTGGCAAACAGTATTGCCAACTTTGTTGCTATATTTAGCGACTTTTCAGACCCTCCTAGAGACAAATTTTCAAAAAAGAGACTAGCGACAAATCTAGCGACTTTTTTGGGTGTTACTGGAGATTTTTATAGACTCATGCGTTCGTACTGTACTGTTCCAACTCTTCTCAACGAGCTACAGGCAATGCCGTCGGCCTTTCTCCTGCCTCAGAGCACTGACAGGTGGCCCAGTCCTCGTACAGCAGTCTCTACCACCTGCAGCCCGAGAGCAGACCACCCCTCTGCGTACTGACACCAAATGATTTAGCACTGCGAGTGTGAAGGTATTTCCCTTGTACTCCTTTGCTTTAAATTTAACAGTTAAATTTGACCGTTTATTCTTTTCTTGAGTTTAACAAAGGTGCCAAAGGTGCCATTGTTCACAATCACAGATATTTTTGTGATAATTTGGGAACTTGTCCGAGTTTATTACATCTGAGAGATCACTGCAAATTCAATACAAATCTATACTGATAGACAGTATTCAAACAACAATAAATTTAGTTAAATTGACATGCATAAATAAAGCGTAGTGCAAATTTTAAATACTCCTTTATTAACTATATGCTGCTAAAATAAACAGAGACGCTTGGGTGTGATAACATCAGCAAAATGCAAATTGATGTATGATGATCTAGCAATATTTAGTGACTTTTCGGGTACAATTTAGCAAAGTTTTATTAAAAATAGTTGGCAACATTGGCGGCAAGCAAGAGGTGAAGCATCAGAGTAAAATGACAGCTGTGAGGTGCACCAGACAAAACACAAACTGTGCAAATACTGCAAAAAGACAATTAATTACACAAACAGAACAACGGATATGATGCACATAAACTGTCAGCACAGTGAAACTACTGTCACAGACGTCTATATGCAAAAAAAACTATTCATAAGCCAAACCACGTAGACCAGATGATTTGGAGCTCCGCTTGCTCCGACCAGTGCTATGGACAGGCCCGGATTAAGAACTCATGGGCACCTGGGCACATTGTCTTGTAAGGCCCCCTACCCGGCCGCACCCCTATAGTTGAATTAAAAAAATTAAAAAATACTAATATTATAACAGTTTTTATATAAAATGAGTCTATAATTTGTTGCCCACATATCTGAATAAATGATTTATAGTACATATATATGTATAGTCTACAAAGATTAAGCTTATTTTTCTAAGCATTAAAAAAATACTAATAAAACTAGTAAAAATGAATGTTATTAGTATACTTTAGTATACTAGTTCAAGTTCACTGAAACAGTACTATATATAATATAGTACTAATATATATTTATTTATTTATTATTTTTAAGGGTATTTACTACGTTTATAACTTTTACTTTTACAAGCGTAAAAAGCATATTATTGGCATGGCATATAACAAACAATGCTTCTCCAATCCAGTTCTATGAATCTGAGTCACTTATTAATTATTTACTGTGTCCTCGTGATGAAGAGTAGGCAAACAGCATAGATCAACTTGATTATAAACCTAAAAGTATCCTCCGAAA